AAGAAATGTAATAATCTGCATTATAATCCTTTGCCAGAAATCTTTAAAGTTTTAAGTCACAAGTAACTCTGACGACATTATGCTTGACTTCTATATTTTCAACTTTCTAGGTGTTTTCCATTTACTATTTTAAAACATTTCCATTAGCTATGTTTAGAATTCTRGCTAAATTTACAAGAGATTTCATAGCTTTTTCTCATACCCCTGGGCCTTTAACAGTTTTGCTGAAAGTAAGAGTGAAGTTCATTTCAGCTTTTTGCTAAAGCTCTACAACCAACAGAACACATTTGTTTCAATCAATAAAAGACTTTCAGCTACAGACGTTTTCAGAAASTGCTTTTGCATTTCCTACACATCATTAAGCGTTGCAGTAAATAAACCTGTAGAATCAGTTCAAGGATAAAAGCAGCTTTAGAAATGCTGACTAATAACTGTAGTAAGAGGACCATCTAGTGGTGATAACCACAATTCACACTCCGCTATTTTTAAGAAATATGTACACTGTTAATCTATGCAAGCCACTGGTCAACTTCTCAGTCYTTGCGGTTTTTATCCCACAGCTTTGTAAATTTCCTTAATTTAGGTTTCAGCTTTCTATGATGAGTACAAATCAGTTTGTTGATTTTCTTCATCTGTTATGAGAAATCTATGTCAATTCTTCCATATATGAAAATTATTCATAGATCAAATCATTAATCTGATGACACTAGCAAGAATGAAATCTAGCAACTAGGCTATAAAATAGGTTTCTTTACTATTCCACAATTCTCTCCACAGAGAAATCACTAATAGCCTTTTTCTTAATACAAGAGACAAAAAAATCAAGTTGAGAAGTCACAGTTGTACTTCTATGTTTTACATCTCCATCACATTTTAACCAAAGATATGTGCAGTTAAATGGACCAAATTATAACATAATAATTAAACTAGAAGGAACAGAACAGCCAAAGATAGCTGAATAAGCAGGAAATACACATCCAATGGTGTTTGTTCCTATATTTCGAATATATGAAACAGCTTCAGAGACATGAAAATCATTGAATCATAGAATGGTTTGGGTTGTAAGGGTTGTTTAAATGTCTTCTAGTCCAAAATCCCCCTGCAATGAGGATGACATCTTCTAGATCAGGTTGCTCAGAACCTCATCCAACCTGACCTTGAGTGTTTTCCCACCCTCAATGTAAAAAAACTTCCTCCTTTTGGTTAATTTAAATTGTACCTCTTTTGTATAAAACCATTCCCCTTTGTTTCATCACAATAGTCCTTGTTAAAACATTTGTCTTCAGCTTTCCTGTAGACCCCCTTTAAGTAACTAAAGACCACATTAAGGTCTCCCTGGATTCTTCTTCTTCAGGCTGAACAACTCCAACTCTCTTGGCCTGTCTTCACAGGAGAGACACTCCAGACCTCTGATCACCTTCATGGCCCTACTCTGGACCTACTCCTACASTTCCAGGTCTTTCCTGTGCTGAGGTCTCCAGAATTCTACACAGCGCTCCAGGTGGGGTCTCACAAGGGAGASAATCACCTCCCTCACCCTGCTGGTCATGCTGATTTTGATGCTGCCCAGGATATSCCTGACCTTCCAGGTGTAAGTGCAAACTGTTCCCTCACATCCAGCTTTTCATCCATGAGAACACCCAAGTTCTTCTCTGTAGGACTTCTCATAATTAATTCATCTCCCCATCTGTACTCATGTTTGAGATTGCCCAGACCCAGGTGTCGCACCTTGTACTTGGATGTATTGGACTTTGTCCAGYTCCCTCAGTCCCCATTCTGATATCTACCACTTGAGAGGAATAGGATGACAGATTACAAGTGAAGACTGAGGAAAAAAAAGTTGTTGAGTACTCAGCCTTCCATTCATCCATTGCTACCAGTTTACCAGTGCTGCTTCCTTTGACCTTCCTTTTCCAGTTAACATACCTGTAGAAGCCCTCCTTAGTGTTCTTTTCACCAAGTTCATCTCCAGCTGTATCCCAACCAGACACCATCCCTATACCCTTCCTATGTCACCTCTCTCTGCCTCCACCAGTTGTGCATTTCCTTCTTGCCCTTTATTTTGACCTGCAGGTCTCAACTCASGCATACCTTCCTTTCCCAATTTCTTGCACTTGGGGACCCTGAGTTCTTGGACTATATGGAAGGTATCCATAAAGATCTGCCATTTTCTGACTCCTTGTCCCTGAGGGCAGTTCCCTGAGGGCAGTCCAATTGACTAACTTGAAGAGTGGGAAGTTTGCTGTCCAAAAGCTTAGGGTCCTGATTTTACTTTTAACCTGTCCCACACCCCTCAGGACTGTGAACTGAATCATTTCTTTTCGTTTGTCAGTGTTAAATCATAAGGCTGGGTASAATGCACTGCTTTACCACTGAAGGTATGGGATTAAGAGCTCCAGAAAAAGAAAAAAGTATAACCTTCAGCAACAGATATCTGAGCAAGACTGAGCAACTTCATAGATCAAGTGCTCTGTGTTAACTCCTACAGCATTCTTTACTTACTCAGATGAAAAATCGTGTTCCTGGGGGACTGACATTCACCCTCCTCCCCAACACTCCCACAGCATGCTTTCCCTGTATGCATGCTTTCCTCCTTCTGTTCCACTGCCATTGAGTATAGCAATAAAACACATATTACTCATAGCAGTAACAGAAGGCAATAAATGCAAAAACTCTCCCTATATTTTGTTACTATACTTCCAGAGTGTGGTGCAGAAATTATAATTAGCAAACCAAGCTCATTGCTGCAGGCTTACAGCATCACAACAAACTAACTGTTGCTGAAGGTGAGATAGTTAGCAGATGCCTGAAAAGAATTCCAGAGAAGCCTGTGGAAGACSAATAGTAAAAAAAATTTCTTTATTTACAGACTCTCAATGGCACACCAGAACATCTGCCAAACACAGATACACATAGATACCATGGCAGCCCAGAYCAGGACAGGCATTTGTTTACTAAAAATAACAGCACTTGATAGACTTCGTTTCTGGTTCACTCTGGCTGGTCTTGCAAGATGGAAATAAAACCACAATACTGTAATCCATAAGCCTCAAGGAGAGGACAAGACATCAAAGATGATACTTAAAAACTTGAAATAGGTTCACTGCAAAAAGCTTGGGGAAAGATAAAAAGCATATCCCTGACAAGAAATCTAAACAGACAGTCCAGGAAAGCCATAAAAAGAACATTTGGTCCAAGAATTCTACAAAAAAAAAAAAAAGACTATTTCTTTTCATTTGCCAAAAAAAACTTTAGCCAGTGTCCATTTTGCCAACTTCTCTGTGATGCTTCAACACACGCCTTACTAGCTCAGGTAACTGAACATTGACTACAATTTTCCCAGATTTAGGTCTTAAACAGAAAGCATCTTGATCTTACAATATGAACATGTATTATTCATTATATAATCTAAATCTCTGCCTTCTTTCTTTATTTTTGACTTGAGATCATTCTTTGTCCAACAGCAATAAACACACTTACGTGAGSTGGAACATGGTGAAGAGAAAAGGAAAAGGAAATTAGCATAACATGCTAACACAGGAAACTCAGAAAAGTTTACAGAACCTATTACGGTTCCCTCTGCTGTTCTTGCTGCTTTGTCAGGATTGGSCTTCATTTTGATCATCCTATGTGTTGAAAAGTGTTTAGCTTGCTAAGTTCTAGGGTAAACATTACCTCCAGTCTCCCTAGCTTGCAAAGACACCGTCCTCATTCCTCATTAGACTACTTGCATCTTCCACAGCTCATGAAACATGTCTGGCATGAAGACTGAGCTGGTGGTCAGACCTCTACTTAGACCTCCATGGTAAACACCCATGCAGGTCAAAAATCCAGAGAATTTCCTCTGTAGAACAGCATGGTGGTACATGGTCACTTGTTTTATTCTTTCTGAATCATTTCAGACACTCATAAGACTTAGTTTACAATCCTCTATACATTTGTTATTGCAACTCCACTGTAGAATGGAGAACATTATTCCCTCTTCTCAGATTTAGGAACTTCTGTATTGTCTTTCTACTTTTAATAGGAATATGCCCATACCATATACACCCATTCCTCAAGATACTCACAGCACTTATACCTTCTTACCACATGAGTTGACCATTTTCCCCAAGGTAGCTGAAAGAAATTAGTAGGTGAAAATCTCTTCAGTCAGTAAGGATTTTGGTCAGYTGAACTGAAGCCCAGGGACAAGCCTGATTTTAGGGTAAGCCATTGTAGCTTTATTACCGGAAAGTTTTTACAGGCACAGGAACCATGTGTATATATTTGCCATATTGATGCAGAAGACTTTCTGTCTTGGAAAGTGACTACCATTCTGCCAACAGTGTAAGAAAACTACTTTTGTTGTTTTTGTTGACAAACCACCCCCCAATATTTTTAAGCAATTTTTACTTCTGAAGAGAAAAAACTGTCATGCAAAGCCAATCTAAATGCTTCCACATCAGAACACAAAAGCATCCACAAGTTCAAAAAAGACTGGTATCTAATAAACCCATTCAAAACAAACACACCATAAATAACATTGTCCACTGTTCTGCTTACCCAGTCAAAGTTTAAGTACTTTTTAGAAGTCTCCATTACATAACTTTCAAGACACTTGATATTTTAGGTTCAGCAAAAGAAGATGTTAACTTTTTTAGCTTGTCTGGGATAAGCAAGTGCAGAAAAGCAAAACAGAATTAAAGCACAGATGAAAACAATTATTTTTAGATGTGAAGTATTTTACAACAGAAGAACCAGGAATTTTGTCATGTTTTTTTTAAATCAACATTATCCTTGTAAACTCATATCTGTGAGATATGTTCAAAATGTGAGAGAACAACTACTCTGCATTTAATATCCTTTGCCTCATCTCAAYTTCTGTTATTTTCAATATGCATCTGATAAAAGGTACCATCAGGCACAGAAAGATGTTTTCCTCTAGACAGCAGCATCATGCTGCCTTTCAAAATCCAATTAAACAACTAATTATMAAGAATATACAACAAGGAGCCTACCTTTTACACCACCAAATGGACCATAAGTCATATTACAAGCAGTTCTTTGAAGATTGTGCTCATACATCAGTTTGATCTGATACTGGTTCCCATGCTCCACATTTCCCTGAGTTCCTACAAAAAAGCAAGGGGTATACATTTATTAATTTGATCAATGCATTATGGAATAAGTAAAGGAGTACCAACGCTAAAAAACCTGAAAAAAAATTAACTTAATTCCTAGTGACTTTGAGCTATGTAGGGTCACACTACTGCTTTTTAAAAAAAAAGAAAAAAATCACCAAACTACAAGATTCCTAAAGGCTAGAACCAGAAGTAAAGTCGCATTATACCAAACATGGTATAAAGACTCACAAGAGACTGAGATTTTATTACTTAAATGTATTTCTCATGTTGGGCACACTTTTAAGATCAGAAAAACCGTCTGCTCAAAGGGGAATGCTTATGATTCTCCAGCTATTCAGCCAGCTTCAGCTGCAATAGTCTCTATCTCAAATTATGCAGTAACTAGTTATTAGCCATAACTTGACAAAACTATGTTTAGGACACACATCACTTGCCTTTACGCTGCCAGAAATTGCATGCAGTGATCAGCAAGGCAAAAACAAAAGACAAACATATGGTAACGAAAAAAAGTTTGTGACATACATCACATTTTCTGAAAAGATCTGCATGAATTTTAACTTCCTGACTCCTTCAGGGAACTAGCAGAAATTAAAAGTCTCTCTAAAGAAACTGAAGTTCCTCATTTTAGAATCAAGTCTTTCCTGTACCTCATGAAGAAMGTAAAGTTCATTACATAAAGTAATATTTAACGACTAATATTAGCAAGCAAAAAAAAAAAAATCAAAACTTCTGAGAACACTCACATCAGCTGTGAAAAAAGTGTTCTGCATTAAAYTCGGCCATAGCTTTAATTACACTAAGATTATTCTAACAACTTAAATAATATGAAAGATTTGTAGCTTATGCTAAGTTTTAAGCAACTTCTCCAATCAAATCAAACATGATTTTTAAACAATAACCCCTAAAGCAGGTCTGYGTTAGGGAAGAGATTGGAATAGATATGAGGGAAGAAGCACTGGCTGAGTAGTAACTAGATAACCAGCAACACGTCAGGATAAACAAGTTAGAAAGCAGTCTGTGTATATGGACAATAATACAGTATCAAGGCCATACTTCAGTCAGCCCAGAAGGATGCTTTCATTTGTCAGAGAAGTATCATASAGATTTTATTATGAATAACAGTAATGTATAAGTAAGTAAAGATTCCACTTTATGGAAGTATAATTTGCCTTAAAAGCATAAAGAAATTATACTTAATTCACAAAGAAGGTTGTTTGAGAGTACCCACTAAGACGACAGAAATTACCATTAAAGCATGAATGCTTACAGATTAGTATGAAAAGTCTATTAAAGGATTGCAAAATTTTACTTTTATTATTACTTAACTGCTTAAGCCATGTAGACCAAACAGCAAATTATAACTCCTAAAGAATTCTAGACTTACTGTTGTAGGTTGTGAATGCAAATTTTAAAATAAATTATTTTAATAAATATTGTACTGGTAGGCTACAAGCCTAAGGCATAAATACTATTTCCTGAAAAGGGAAACATGAAAACTGCAGTACTTCATAAAGAATTACCCCTCAGTAAAAAACAGTTTCACAGATACCTCCAGAAAGGTAAACAGAATCTCAAAAGAGAGCATGTTTTTGTAACCTGACTACAACGCTGCAAATAGGAAGCAAGGTTCTCCTACAAGAAAACCATGCTCTTATAATGGAAGGAACCATTCCATGAGTGTGTCCCTTCACAGAGAAAATTAACAATGCCATGTTGTCTGTTGAATTTTTAAGATGGGTGTACCATTAATAGATCTCTTAAATCTGTATTTTACTCTGAGCATATAGAAGCAAAAAATCAATGCAGAGAATATGTATTTTGTGACTTGGCTCTTCACACACAGAGAGRACACATCATATAGAATTTCCAGCCAAAGGCAGTAGAAGAAAGTGGATCTATGRCAAAACATAGTGGTCTCACCTTCTTGCTTATATTAACCTCCTGTCTTCTCATGGGCTACCTTAYCCACGTTCTGGCTTTCTAAAAAATATTCTGGACTCCTGAGTTAAGAAAGTACTGTAGCTGTTTATTTTTAAAGAGCTAGGTTGTCACTATAGAATCATTTTTTCATTAGCATGTTGAACAATAACACCCATTCATAAAACCATAATGAGAACTAGTTACTCACAATCACTACTGACCACAGACCATTACACACATCACAGCATTTCAGGCATGGAGTAGATCAGCAAATCTCTGCTAACCTCTGCTAAACCTAACTACTAATGTTTCCTCTTCATATCTGGGCTTAAGTGAAAGAAAACGACTGCACATCTTCAAGGATAGTGAGAAAACACTCAAGCAAGTTTATCATCAACTTATCAAGTATCAACTTAAACTGTATCAAGTTTAACATCAACTTTAGGAACCAACATAATCTAAACTTTAGAATACACTTAAAATCACTGGAAAGCTTGGATCTGTAAACTAACCTGAAACAGCATACACACAGAGTTTTCGGCAATGCAAYACAGCCAGATGAAGTGCTTCAGTACCACTGTAAAGAAGGGTTTAAAAAACACAATTTTTAGATAAATTCAAGTAAAATTCATACAGGATAACATTCAAGTAACATGTTGAAATTGCTCTCATGTGTGGGCCAAATGCAGAGGTTTAGGTGTCAGATGTCAGCATAAAAATTCAGAGGTACTGATCTTCCTAAATTCATGCTGAAGTGTTTGGAGTTAATTTCAAAATCAAAATTAATCCTTTAAGAATGTATTTGGAGATGCAAATATGAAGAGCAACCCAACTATTTTCCCGATTTAGTCAGAAACTCATTTGAAACAAGGTGCTATTAATCCTTCATGGAGGGATGATCCACATATCATCAAACAAGTATTATTCAGCAATCACAGACATCACTTTTTTTCAATTCACATTTGTATTAGGTGCATGAAAACTTCAAACCCTCACATTCTTTGTCCCCCAAACACAAGCAGTATTTCTAGAAGAGAAGTACTTGTGCTGTAATTATAGAAAATTTCACCTCATTTCACAGAGTAAGGCATTATTATTCCTGCAGAGGGAATGATATCACAGGATCACTCTGTGAGGACTTGACCCTTTGGTCTCAGAGTATGAAYCTYACCCATGGTTASTACARGTTTTACTTTCACTTTTTAAATAAAGATCATGCTGCAGTATTAGAAGTTAATTTCCAAATTAAAATTAATTCGTTAAGAACTAATTTCTAAAATAAAGTTCTCCTAAGTAGATTCTCTTATAGCCAGTCAATTATAAGATGKTTTCCTTAGAGTCACAGTATCTCTYCTTTACCCTGCCACTTATTTCCWCTAATCYTCTATCAAACAGGAAATAATTGGCCAGTATTACATCCTAGATCACAGCAAGTTAGTCACATATTCTTAACACCCTAAAAGACAACTTTCAATGTAAAGCTTTTCCTGTTCTACACACTCCTAAAATATTGTATCTGGAAGATTATCCTCTATATATACCTTAAATAAAAAATCTCCCATATCAAGATRATTCAAGAAGCAGATCAAATGCATGTTATAGGATTCAGAGATGTAATTAACAGTTGTTCATCTAGAAACTGAAAACTCACCCTCCAAAACAAAGGAAGAAAATCACATCTAACACTTAAATAAACAGCACCATAGCCTGTCATTTACTTACGAAACRAATTTTCCTACTTCCACCTGCAATATTGGTTCTTGCAACTGCACTTCCAAGAGTAAGTCTTCAGGTTGTACTTCATCTCCAGGTTTCACAGGATGTGGATTAAATATTCGGAGATATCCCATATAACTGCCCACAACAATTTTATCTAAAAAACAAACAAACAAACAAACAAACAAATAAACCCACAAAGGATGCTACATACATAATAAAATAGTACATGTGGAATTCAATTTACTGCAAAGTGCTTCAAATGATACCCTAAAAGATAGAATATTGACACGATTCAATTAATGCTCATTATGCTCTGTCTTCTAGTTTACCTTTAGCAACTACATTTTTTGCAGATCCATGAAAATCTGTCAGCACCAGTGATGGTAGCAATAGGGTTGAGTGTTTATGGGAAAGATCCGGGGAAAAGGCTAATGAGGCAGATGTCATGGTGGGGGTCTGTTACAGACMACCCAGCAAGGATGAAGAGGCAATTAAATATTCTAAAAGCAGTTTGGAGAAGTCTCACAATCACCAGCCCTTCTTCTTATGAGGGACTCCACCAGATATCTGCAGAAAATACAACACAGCAGAGAGGAACTGTCTAGGAGATTCCTGGAGGGTATGAAAGATAACTGCCTGGCAYAGCTGGTGAGGGAGCCAATTAGGAAAGGTGCCCCACTGGATTTRTTGTTTGTGAACAGAGAAGGATTTGTAGGTAATGTGATGGTTGGAAGCTGTATCAGGCACAGTGATCATAATTTTATTTTTTTATTCTAAGAGAATGAAAGAGGGGGAATAGCAGAACAGATGTTGTGGACTTCCAGAAGGCAGACTTTCATCTGTTCAGCAAACTGGTAGACAGAATCCCTTGAGAGGCAGCTCTCAGGGTAAAGGGGCCCAAGAAGACTGAACACTTGTAACAAAGGAAATCTTAAAAGGTACAGGACCAGACCATCCTCTTGTGCCAAAAGACAAGTTGGCAGGGAAGAACACCATCCTGGCTGAACAGAGCTTTAGCTGGAACTCAGGAAAAAGAGGAGATTTGACCTTTGGAAGAAGGGGCAGCTGAATTAGGGGCAGCTGAATTAGGGGGGGCTACAAAAATGTTATGAGGCTACATGGGAAGAAAATAAGAAGGGTCAAAGGCTCAACTAGAACTTAATATAGCTACTGCCATAAAAGACAATAAAAATGTTTCTATCAATACATCAGCAACAAAAGGAGGACCAGGAGAATCTCCATTCTTCATTGGATATGGGGGGGAACATAGTGACAAATGATGATGAAAAGGCTGAGGTATTTAGTGCTGCCTTTGCCTTGGTCTTCAATAGAACAGGTTGTTCTCTAGGTACCCAGCCCCTGAGMTAGAAGACAGAAACAGAGAGCAGAATGAGGCTCTCATAAGACAAGGGGAAATGGCCAGCATTCTGCTACACCTCTTAGACACACACACACRTCCATGGAGCCAGATGAGGATCCAYCCAGGAACACTGAGTGAGTTAGTGGAATTAGTGGAATGATCAAGCCACTCTCCATCACTTATCATCAGTCCTGGCTGACCAGAGAGCTCCCAGTTGACTGGTAGTTACAAATGTGATGCCCATCTAGAAAAAGGGTCAGGAGGATTTGGAGAACTACAGGCCAGTCAGTATGACCATAGCGCCAGGGAAAGCCATGGAGAATACCTCCTTGAGTGCCAGCATGCAGCTTGTATGGGACAACCAGGGGATTGGGCCCAGGCAGCAGGGGTTTATAAAGGACAGGTTCTGTTTGGCCAGCCTGATCTTCTTCCATGACAAGGTGACCAGCTTAKTGGACAAGGGACTGATTGTAGATGTTGTTTACCTAGACTTCAGGAAACCTTTGACAGCATTTCCCACAGCATTCTCCTGGAGAAACTGGGTGGTCATGGCTTAGAGAGGTGCATTGCTTGCTGGGTAGAAAAGTGGTGGGGTGGCTGAGCCCAGGGAGTAGTGGTGATTTGAGTTACATCCAGCTGACAACCAGTCACAAGTGACAATCCCAGGGCTCAGTACTGGGGCCAGTCCAGCTTAATATCTTTATCAATAACCTGGATAAGTACACCCTCAGTAAGTTTGCTGATGACACCAAGTTGGTTGGGAGGGTCGATCTGCTAGAGGTAGGATGGCTCTACAGCAGCATCTGGACAGGCTGGAGCAATGGRTCAGTCATATGATGTCCAACAAGGCCAAGTGCCAGGTCATTCACTTCAGTCACAACAACTCCATGCAAGACAACAGGCTCGGGGAAGAGTGGCTGGAAAGCTGCACAACAGAAAAGTACTTGGGGTGACAGCTGACAGCAGCTGGAACATGAGCCAGCAAGAGCCCAGGTGGCCAAGAAGGCAAGTTGTGACCTGGCTTGTATGAGAAAGTATGTGGCCAGAGAATTATTGATCCCTTGTATTCAGCACTGGTGACATTGCACYTCAAATACTGTATTCAGTTTTGGACTCCTCACTACAAGAAAGTCATGAAGGTRGTAGAGCATGGCCAGAGAAGCACAACAAAGCCAGTGAAGGGCTTAGAGGTGCACCAGAGGATGTAAAACCTAGATGGAATATTAGGAAAAAATATCACCAAAAGGGTTGTGAAGCAYTGGAAGAGACTGCCAAGAGAAGTGGTTGAATCACCATCCCTGGTGGTATTCAGAAGATGTGTAGGAGTGGTGCTCAATGACATGGCTTAATAGTGAACACAAAGTGTTAATTGTTGGTCTCAATGATCTTAAATGTCCAATCTTAATGACTCCAATGATTTTCTACTTAAAAAGGTTGTACACCAAATCAGTAACAGCTCAACTTTATTCAAACTGTCCTGAAAAGGACGAGTCCTACAATGAAATAATTTTAGAAGAGTATGGCAGCAATGCAATCGGTTTGGCTCAAGTACCTCTTCTGAGCCAAAACAAAATTCAAAGGTGAGCACGATATAATAAAGATCCCAAGAATTTATTAATTTTTTAAAAATACACACACAAAAAAACTCTCCCTGAAAGCAAAAATCATTTCACACTATTAATGACTACATAGAGAGCAGAATTACTCAAGCAGAGTCACTTATTTCAGTCATCACTTATTTTCCAGACCAAAAGAGTTGTTTATTTTTCTAATTTCTTAACTTTTTAGCTCTCACCTTCCTTTTCTTTTTCTCCCCTCAGGTTTTTACAAGTCACAATATGCTTGCTCCCATGACTAACTGAAAATTCTTTATTTTAATGATATCTACCATTGAGGGAATAAGATACGAGAGATGTTACAAGTGAACACAAGCAAGAATTAACATGTTTAGCAACATACAAATATAAAAAGACAGAAAGCACTGAATTTCTCTTCTTAAGCCTACAAGAACACATTAAAGATAGCAGATCTAAAACTAACTAGCCAACTAGCCTGGCTAACAAGCTTTCAKCATGCATTGGTCAAAGCAAACTTAGAGCTGTGTGGCTTAAAGCCAGCAATCACATAAGTCTGAATTTACCTTGTCCACTGCCACTATTATCAACATCAGCAACACACAGACAGCCTTGGTCAAATTCTTCCTTTTCTCCAAGTATGGTGGACCACCAGTCTCTAGCTTTAAACAAGGACATTCTTCTTTACTGAAAAGGAAACAAATGATTGTTGAAGCTCATACTTATACACGCAACTGTTTATTAAAAAAAAAAAAATGTTGTTTGTTAACAACAGCTTTCCCTATGTATATTACACTTCTTGGTTTCACATTGCCCTAGTGTGAGCTAAAGAAATTTTCGTTCCGGACGTCTCAAGTTTCCAGTTATATAGTTCAGAAAACAACCTCAGGAATCTTACTGTCATTAGTTAAACTAGTTATGATAGACACGGCTAGTWACATGAAGAAAACACAACAAAACAACAGACTTTGAAAAACTGTTAGATGCCTTCCGTCACAAGCATTAAGTAATAAAAAGTTTTTGAAGTCACAGAACTGAGGTTTCCTCTTACCAAGGAGTACCAGAAAAAAAAAAAATTCTCATGGAAGTCTTCTGTAAGAAAAAATTATTTTTAGACAAGTTAATGGAGACATAAACAGACGACATCAAAACCTCCTCCGCCTAATCGCCTTGAAGATGCTCCAGTGACACGAGTAAAGAACTCGGTCATACAGGGCACAAATCAGCTTTTCTGCTCCCTACCTGATGTTATTTTAAGAAGGGGGGAGGGCAGGAGCGAGGAGACTAATCCCTTTGCAGGCAGCTTGACAATAACATTATCCTAGTTCAAAACTCACAGCTCCGTGCCGATGAACCCGGACACACCTGATCCCACAGCCCGCACAGGAGGCGAAGRGCTGCCAGGCACCRGCAGCTCCAGCGRGAAGAGAAAAAGACGGGATTCGGAACAAACTCAGCCAGCAAGCCCGCGCCCTTTCCTTTTTTAAGGAAAACCACGTCCGGCAAATAAAGACATTTATTCTCCCTCTTTTTCCCGTCGCTATGCCCGCTAGGCAACCTGCTGCCGCCAAGTGCGGGCTGGCACAGCACAGCCCTCTACACACACCTCCTCACTCCCTTCGGTCCTCCCTCAGAGTCCCTGGGCAGCAGCCACAGCACCTACACTGAGCCACAGACAGGGACACAGGTACGGACACACACACATACAAACACAGACACATACCCGTGGAGTGGGAGAAGGGAGAAGGGAGAAGGGAGAAGGAGCCCGGCGGGGGCTTACTTAGGCGGGAGGCGAACGCTCCCTGGCACGGCGCAGTCCGAGCCGCCCCGGGGCGGCAGCCCCGTTTCCTCACAGGAGTTCCTCGCTCAGGCGCGGCCCGAGACAAGGCACAGAGCGGCAGCACTACAGGAGAATTCCCACCGCCGCCGCCATCTCCAGCATCCTCCGCTCCCCACCGCCGCCACCAGCCCCGCGCCGCCTCACGCCCCGCCCAAGAGAGAGCTTGGGAAATGTAGTTTGGGAAGTGGCGACATGGGCCGTTGGGCTCTCTCATTTCGTCCTGTACGGGGAGGGAAGGGCGAAGAAGAGAAGCATTCCTCTGGTATTTTCTGAGAGGAGAAAAAAAAGCCCCAACCTTAACCACTCGGCGATTTACACTTTTTCTTCTTCAGAGCCTCTCAAAGAAATCTCTTGCTCTCGAGGCTCCCATCTCCACCCGCTGGATCACCTATTCCCTACCCCGTTTCCTTGTGCTGTGGTACGGCCGGCGAGGGGCCGGGCCGGCGGGGCGCGTGTGGCACCGTCGTTGCCGGCCCGGCGTTCGGTCAGCAGGGRCTTGCTGGGATCCCGCTCCTTCGCCCACATTGAGGGCGCAGCCGCGCTTCCCCACAGCGGCTCCCGGCGCCCCGGCAACTACTGCCATGGACAGGACCGCCGTGGCCAAGATGGGAGCGGTGGCGAGCGCCAGCGTGTGCGCGCTGGTGGGCGGGGTGGTGCTGGCGCAGTACATCTTCACCATGAAGAAGAAGACGGGTAAGAAGACCAAGATCATCGAGATGGTACGTGGTAAGAGGCCGAAAACCCCTCTGCCCCCGGACGCACGCCCTTCTCCTTGTCCTTCCCCTGCGTTCSGCGGCTCTCCACGGCCGCTCCCGCGGAGGCAGGCGGATATCCCGAGGGGATATCTGGAGGGGCACAGGGGGGACCTTGAGCTCAGTTTGGGATTTCTGTAAGGACAGGCGCTGAAGGCAGGAGCAGCTGTTCCGCCTCAGCGTGACCCACGGGCAYGGGAAAGGCTCTGCGCCGTCCTGCCCTCTCCTGTCCGGCCCATGGGTATGTGTAGATCCATAGGTACTTGCAGGATACATATGTACCTGTAGGRTACATAGGGACCTGCGGGTCTTGGTGGTAATTTACAATCCTGCTTGCAGTTTGTTTAAAAGAAAAATGGGCACACGCACACACATGTGTTCAACCATCTGTTGAAAATAGGAAGCACAGTCTGTTCACGGTTACTATAAAAGGAAGCTGGAGCTCGCTCTCTCCTGCTGCCCTTGTTAAACTGGTTATTTAGGAAATTGTTTAAATATCTGCTTATAAACAACTGGATCGTAAAAGGTCTTAGTTTGGACAACGTGCTGATTCTGTGGAAGTCCTTCAAATTTTGTGATTTGGACATCGCCGTGTTGAAGAACTGAACTGAAATCATCGAGGSGCTTGATGTTAGCTAATGGGTGTTTTGGGATCTCCCCTGCAGAATTTACTGAAAGCTCTGATGAATTTTTATAATTGCACATGGAAACAGATTTCAGTAAGAGCAGGATTCTGTATGTAAATTGTGAGCTGCCTAAGTACTCACTTGGCCACGCATTGCCACGCTTGCCAGTGGAATTCATGAAGTGTGGTTTGTGATAACGTTGGTCCAAAGAAGAATTCCACTGTAAGTTTTTACTAATCGTAGAGTCATCACTGTTGAAAAAATATTGTTTCTAATCGTCAGTGGTGTCATTTCGCAGTTTGGAGGGGGGTGCCTTGCTTTTTTGTTTCTTCAAGCCCTTTTCCAACAGCTTGTGGGAGAGAGCAGAAAGTTTGGATTGCCACTTKAGAAAGGTTTTAGAACAATTTCTCTTAAAGGGCTCTGGACTCTATAGTAGGCTTTTACCGAGATCATTTGAAAACTTACAGTGACATAACACTGATTAACTATGATTTTTACTTAATTTTTTTAATTCTTGTATTTCAATACTGGAACTTATTTTTGAGTCATGTGGACAATAAAACAACAACATCTAAAAGCATGATCATATGGGCGCTCAAAAGGCAAATCCAATAGTTTCACTAACTCCTGTTCATAGTATGAAATTTKATTTGAGCTGTAGTTCAGAAAGTACCAAATAATTGCTAAAATGTATTCATCTAAACTTTCTGTACTATGTTTAAATGGTGTTTTGGTTGGGAAGACTTGAACTTTGCCAAGTTTTGGCAAAGATTTTGCCTTTGGTCTGGGAAAAAATCATTACGCCAATGCTAAATCGATTTCTGGTAAGTGARTTTCTTAAGTATGTACTTCAGATAACATTTTCAGAGCTATGTTCTTGGACACAAATCTATGATCCTAAGTAGATATTTCCAAAAATTCCACTTTTATGACTAGAGATTTTCCGAGCTTTCAGTTGCAAGGAGAAAATTAAGCTTGTTGAAAGCATGTCTGCTTTCTCAYGCGGAAACATTTAATCAGTTGGATGCAACACGTTCATGCTCAAGAGAGTGAGCCTTTCAGATGATATTCAAGTTGGCAGCTTCCTCAGCTAGTAAACAATCRTTAATTCTAAAGATGCAAGTCTTCTTTCTTATGTAGTATTTTCAGTGGACACATGTTTTCAGGCTCTGCAATTTCTTTCAAGAAAATGAAGTAGTTGTGTAAACTTCATACCAAGGAGTTGTGTTTGTCAAGTATGGGCAAAAATGTGTTGTTGTGTTATACTTGAATATGCTGCATTCTGAAGAACTTTCTGACATAGTTTTATYCACTAATGTAGATTTGACTCAATGCTTGTCATTTACAAGATGCTGTATTGGTTTTMTTTTATCACAAGGGAGACCTTTTCTTGAGCTGTGGAGGAGAAGGTGCTGTTTTCCAGTCTGTAACTAAGTGTCAGTTAGGGTGGTGGTGAAGAACAATACTGCTTTATTGAGATACATATTTTTTAATAACAGGCTGGTCTTCCTAGATTAAAATTCTAGGATCTTTCTTGTATTTTCAGAAGATTTTTTTGTTCAAATTTTCTTTGGGTAACATTAAACTCTAGTTTTATATCCACATTAGACTCAGAATTACCTTGATRTATAACTTTTGTCAAAAGCAGTAGGGAGCAGGCCTATTTACACCTTAGTTATGTGAATGAAATATTCTTTCATTACAATTAACTACAGCAATTATTTTTTTTACTTTTTTCTTAGTCAAAATAGAATTAGATTAATATAAGTCCAAGTGTAAGTAAAAAGAAATACCTATAGCTGTCTCTGAGTGTTAAAAAGACAACGACATTTACAAATCAAACAGATTTGTAATCTATAAGACAAGTTAATACCAAGGATTATGATGCAAAGAATGTTTCATGTGAAGAAAAGTGGAAGGGAGACTCAAGCATTGTGGGAAAGGGTAACCCTCTTTCTTTATTGAATAATAAAATCAAGTAATTCTTAAATATCTAGCTCACATTTCAGTAGATAAGTTCCTTAGCACACCAATTAGCCTGRTACACAAATTTAAGCTTAATGAAGACAGTTTGCAAACAGGGAGTTTCCCTTCCGCACTCATGAATGTGGACAGAGTTACTTCAGCTCCACTTCTGAAGTAACAGSGGCATTAATAGTAATGGTCACATGAAGTTTCAGTCTGTGTGGCAAGAAGCAACCATATCCCAAAGCCTTTTGTTTCTAATTTTCACAGCTACATTGCTACTTCTGTAAAACTGTATTAAGTCTTTCTATATTCACGTGAAAGCAAAAGTTAGTCACAAGGTTGCGACTTTAATTTAAAGTGATGGTTAATGATTAATTAGTTCTCAGAGAAACTTCTTAGAAAATGTTTCCCAGCCTTATAGTAACATTCAGTGTTTTCAATTTTTCAGGCCACAGACAAGTCTGCAATTAAGTTGTGAATTCTTACATGGGTAATAGTTGTACTGCCAATAGATGTCAATTTTTTGATTACTCTTTGCCAAGCCTTTTAGCAGCTCAGCAGAAAACAGGTGTTCACAAACTAGAGTGGAAAACACTGCCTAAATCTTTCAAAAACACTCACCTGTAAGCATTAGCCTTTAGTAACATTAGCATTAGTAACATTTCATTGTTAATGAAAATATGGAGTTAACATAAAAAAAGCTTCTTAGACAAGTGACAGTATTTTTTATTTTATGTTTCGCAAACAAAGTTGTTAAAACCTCGGGTTTTTTTTGCAGCAGCGTGTTCCTCACTCTTTGGTTTTAGAACTTTTTGTTGCATTTTTTATTAGGATAAGAAACATAATAGAGCTTGTTGAAAACAGAATAGCAAAATACCTTGAGCTGCGACTTCCTCTCTTCATGTTTGTAGTCCAGAAAACTGAGCGAATGCTTAATTACATTGTCTATTTCTCCAGTCTGTCCCTGAAATGAGAGCTGTAATTGCATGAAAAAGAGACTGTGTATCAAAGTTCAGCAACAACAAATTAAAAGCAACTTAAAAGCAGTTTCTCGCTTTACTGGAAACATTTCAACCAGACGATTGTCTCTGGACAGTTTTCTTTTTATTGTGTTRGAGAAGGAAAGAAATGCACGGATATTTGCAGTATTAGAGTTTACCCGTAGAGAAGCTATTTATCTCCTTCCCTGAAAAATAAAGTAACATATTCTGTGAATATGACTGTTAGAGGGTTTATGGGGGGAGAATACATTTTCAATTTTTATTTTCTTTTGCCTGTCAATCTCTGGTGAGACTCGGTTCTTTCATCGGGCATAAGAGCATTTGTACCACAGATGAAGATACAACTGGCAGCAATCAYGCACCACTTCTTTATTCCTGTCTTGTTGCTGGTAACTAGTTGTTATAGTAACTGTGACGTTACTCTGGCAGGTTGACCTGCCAGTAGAGTAGAAAGCAGAGGAGTATTTAATGTGTAGCATGCATATTCAAGAATGTAAGTGGTTGGTATTTGCAACTCCTGCGTACGTACTTATGCCTATACAAAGCTGAAGAAGAGAGTGAGTCTGAGTAAACTCCTATCATTGAAAGGGCAATGGAAGGAAAATGGACTCTCTGATGATACTGCTGGAGGACATTGTCACTGGCTCAGTGAGCTTGAGAACTATGCAGTGATAYGATCCATTTGGGAATAATACTGTTCCTAAAGAATGTTGCTGTGATGTGAACCKAAGTAGTGAAAAATTAAAGAACTGCTGAGACCTAATACCACTCCTACRTATTAACATGTGA